CTTGGTGGCCGTACGACCCAGCGGGGATGCCTCCCTGCTTCTGCAACCTCGCCATGACCGTGTGCTGCCTGGACGCCTTGGTGAAGCGTCTGATGTTCTTGCTCATGGCGAGATGCTTGGCCTCCCGCTTGGTACGGGTTGCCCTTGCGTGGCGCCCACGTCCGAAGTCCACGCCTGGGTATGTGGCCTGTTTGACAGGTTGAACATTGTATCCAGCTTTCCTCACCGCCTTCGCAATAACCGGCGCATCCTGGTGAGTAGTGCACATAACCGTCGATTTAGCTGCCACCTTGAGTCTGCATTTGCCCAGTTCACGACATGTGTCGAGCAAGCATTTGATCATGAGCTGTCTGATTGCCCGTCGCGAGCCCTTCACCACCTGCGAGAGGTCGTCAACCCACAGCCTGTGGCCCATGCGGGCGTTGGCCGTCGCGACCGTCTGCATCACATAATGCATGAGGATCTTCGCGAACCTGGTGCCTGAGCGAAGGCCTTGGACCACGCTCTGGCTGGGGTCGAACGGTGCGCTTGCAGCTCCCAGCTGCTCCACCGTTCGTGGGGCGATACATTGCAGCAACTCCAGGAAAAGAAGAACTGGTGGAAACTTGAGACGCAGGGCTGCTGCCACTAAAGGGGCCCATGGTATTGAATTGTAGAATGACTCGATATCTACCATTCCATGTCCATATTGAATGCTCATAGTGTGGGCGACCTCGTCATCAATTGCACGAAGAAATGCCTCCTGGAGGCAAGAATTTCTTTTTATCGCAGCGTCCCAATGTTGGGCCGTCTCTTGCGACCATACCTGGACTTCACTCTCTCTGACTTTAGACCACAATCTCCCTAACATTGACACCAAACCTATACCACGATCAGCTCCTGATTTCTTCGGAGTGAGTTTGACAACAACCAGAGCCGTTTGAATGGGCCACGCTAATACTGCCCCCACTGCTTCAAAAATCAGCACCAACTCGGCAACTCCAGCTGCTGGTAACCTTTGTATATCTACTGGGGTGAGGCGGTCGATGCCGAGTCCTGCTTTTGCTTTCATCTGCCCTGCCGCCTTGAGCACCATGTCCGCCGTGACGGGAGGAAGGGGATCGGATTCCGCGGCCACGCGAACTTGGCGCAGCAGCTCTCTGATAGCTGATACGTCTGGAGGGGTCGGTGCCCACAGCCTCTGAAACTCCTTGCCTTTCTTGTCCATGATATCCCGTGGATGGAACAGCACAGCCTCCCCAGACACCACTTCCATGGCTGGTAGAGGCATGGGTTTGAGTGCCTTGTGCAGGACACCGACTGGTTCCTTTTCCGCGGCCCAGCTCCGAAACTCCTGAAGTGATGGCGCCAACGCTTGCCTCTGGGCTCGCTGTGAGATCTTTTTGGCACTCGCCTCGAACGACTGTAATACTGGGACTGCCTGGCAACCCTGGCCGTTGAGTAGCTGGAGCCGCTCGTGCCAAGGTGGGCCCCGACCTGCTCGGAGCGGAAGATGATCACCCTCAGGTCGGTCGCCACACAGTTTGAGGCAGGCCTGTCTGTACTGGTGTACCTGATGCGCTCCATTGTTCCGAATGGCGTGTCGTGCCAGGCCCGCAATGACCGCGTAAACTCGTGTCCACCACTGGGCCTTCTGGTCACGTAAATGTAGCTGGCGTCTGTGTGACGCCTCACGAACCTGCTTGACCCAAACCTTGGTCCATGGGTTCGGCTGAGACCTGACATAGCAACACCATGGTGAGTGTTGACATCATTCTCCACAGTCTGCACCCAGGCAGCATCCATTCCCGAGACAGACGACTTGTGTGCTGGATTGAGAGAGATGGCTACGGAATCCAGCAGGGACGAGTGGACATATTCTGTACATTGGCCCCCGGGAGCGAAACCGACTTCCCGCCGACATTGGTCCCAGAGGTCCCCAGGAATTTGAAACGCGGCTTCAGGTGCGGTGTCTCCGAGGCCTTGAGAGTTAGAAGTATCATTCGACTGCTTGCCTTCTACTTTGGGGGGCTGGCTCATATTCGGGGAGGGGCTGCCTAATAACATCCTACCGTCAGAAGAGAGGGGCAGAGCGTCAGCAGCCTCCGCCACACGGCACACGCCCCGACTCTCGTCAAGCTCAGGCTGCACGAGGGGAGGGGAGGAGGAGGGGACAGGGCACAGGCCGCCGAACTGCTCAGCGTTCGAGACCCCCTGAACGTTGGCAGGGGCAAAGCTGCTTTCATCCGCCCATGGGTCTGGCTCGTCTGGCCAGTCGTCCCTCTCGCATTCGAAATCTGGTTCGGTATTAGGGGATGGGGCCCGTGTGGCTCCCTCCTCATTCTGGTGAAACTTGTTTGGCTGCACGCAGTCCCCTAACCATTTCATGAAACCTAGCGGCTCAGTCTTCGGCGGCCGCTTTCCTTTCGGCCTCCAGGCGAGCCTTAGCAACACTACTTTTGGAGCCAACTGTGGGCTCCTGACGCGGCCTCGGGAGCTGAGGGGGCCTTGCAGGGGCCTCGAGCACCCTAGTCCACAGCTGGGGCCCAGAGCTTCTCAGGTCAACCTTGAGGCCAACATGAGGCTTCCAGGGGACGTCCCGAACAATAGACACATTGCGCACAAACGAGACAGCCACAGGACAGCAAACAAGGTAATCAATGAGCGCATCTTTCCTTCTTTTTTTTCGCGCGCAAGTGCCCGTGTTGCCCTCGGCGGCGCGGACAATGCCCCCGAGCTTCTGGCCGAGGCTCGAGGCAGAGAACACCTCGGGCGTCATGTTGAAGTCCCCTATGAGGATCCACGGGAGTCTCACCGCCGCCAGTAGGCCTCCGATTCTTGCGAATCGGCGGCGGTTGGCCCCCGTCATCACGATGGGCGGCAGGGCGTAGAGCGTGACAATGATGACCGAGTAGCCCGCCAGGTGCACCACCGTCGCCACGAAGCCGTCCAGGGACGTCTGGTTGGGCTCCGAGAGGTGCCCTGCTGCAACTGTGGTCTCATGTAGCCTGTGAGCTTGAATGTGGAACTGGCTCATGAAAAGCTCGCCCCCCTCATTGGAGCTCATTTCCCCTTCAATAGTTGTCGCACGTCCCGCCTTTCTTGCTGGATTGTGTGCCAATCGTAGCTTGGCGGCCCCCGCCGACTTGTCCCAATCTCGTAGCTGTGACTCATCATGGCAGGGAGTCTCTACGAGTCCCCATAGCTGGTAGTTCCTTGGATTCGCAAGCACAAGCTTCCACGCCTTCTCCGTGAGCGCCGTGACACTGGCGTAGAGCATGGATGTCACGGCGGCCTCCTCGTCGCCCGCAGGAGGCTGTCCCTGCTTCGAGCGAGGAGGCCTGGGAGACCGTCAAGCGGCCTGGGTGGTCGCATCGCCCTTGCCCTTCGACTTGGCCTTGGCGATGGCGGCCTCGAACTTCGCCTGCGAGATGCGGTTGACCACCTCCTGCATCAGGCGCTCCTTCTCCTGCTCTTTCTGTTGGTCGGCGGCCTGGGTGGGCTGCGCCTCTGGGGGGGATGCCGTGGCAGTTGAGGACGCCTCGGCCGTGCCCGCAGCACCTGCGGCTTGGGCCGTCGATGACGCACCCGACCCGCCCTCGCTGGCCTCCCCCGTGGCCGTCCTGCGCTTCTTGGCCATGCGCTCCTTGAGCTTCGTCTTGAGAGCCTTCGTGCGCACGACCCGATCGTTGATCTGCTTCTCCTTGCCCTCGAAGTGGCTCTCGACCTGCTGCAGCTCGTCTTTGAGAGTGGCGATGGCCTTTCTGCTCCTCTGGCGTGGGCTCAGCCTCCGCGACTTGGTCGAATAAGCTCTCATCCCACTCCAACTTGAACAGCTTGGGCTCGTCGTCGGTGGGGTCCTTGGTCTCAGGCTCGACAAGGCCCTCGGCCCTGGACAATGCCAAGGCTGCAGCACGTTTTGCATGTTCCGCTTCGGCTAGTTTACGGGCTATATTCTGCTCCTTAAGCTCCGCCGCTGCCAGGTTAGAGCGGGGCCTGAGGACTGATTGCACTGATTGATCATGCATGTGTTCCAGATTGCGATATACACCATCGGCCTTCTTCATAGCTTCAACTGGCGATAACGTGGTGCTGGAAGTCTCCGATTCCTGGCCAAGTCTCGCAATTTGCGAGGACAGCGTGGCCTGGAGGTTGGTGTCCTGCGTGGCCTCGAGCGCCTGGAGCAGCAGGGAGGTGACTGACCCGTCAGGCTTGTCGCGGCCTTTGCCACCTCTGCGGCTGCCAGGGGATAGACTGCGGGACTTCAGGATGCTGGCGGGCGCGGACTGGGAGTCAAGCTCGCCGTCCCAGCAATCCTGGAACTCGTCCTCCTCGAAGGTGACCTTGCTCTTTGGTTTGAAGAGCGACAGCACCTCCTTGCAGTGGCCGCACTTCATTTTATTCAGCACAATTGTCGAGTTCCATTCACACTTGCGGCAGCTGGGGCATCGGGTCCACAACGGGGCCTTGCCTGCTGGCGCCATGACTGGATACGGTCTGGACGCCTCTGTCTTAGTCGGTGATCTGGGGGGGCTGGCGTGCCCCAGATCAAAGTCCCTCAAGCACTGCGTGGAAGTGCAGAGGCAGGCACGGGGGAAGTTCACTGAAACCTCTCGTGCCCGAAACTGCTTGAGAGGAGGGAGGAGAGAGGAGAGAGGAGGGAGGAGGGAGGAGGGAGGAGGGAGGAGGGAGAGGGAGGAGGAGGGAGGAGGGAGGAGGGAGGAGGGAGGAGGGAGGGAGGGGGAGGGACGGGAGGGAGGGAGGGAGGGAGGAGGGAGGGGGAGAGGAGGGAGGGAGGAGGAGGAGGAGGAGGAGGAGGAGGAGGAGGAGGCGGAGGCGGAGGCGGAGGCGGCGGAGGCGGAGGCGGAGGGAGGAGAGGAGGAGGAGGAGGAGGAGGAGGGAGGAGAGAGGAGGAGCAGGAGGAGGAGGAGGAGGCGGAGGAGGAGGAGGAGGAGGAGGAGGAGGAGGAGGAGGAGGAGGAGAGCTATTTTCTTCGGCGTTGTCCTGCTGCCCCCAGCCAGGAGCCCAGCGCCCAGCGCGAGCGGCGCGCAGCGAGCCTGGCGCCCAGCGCCAGCGTGGAGGCCTCGCCGGGCGCCTGGCGCCGCATTGCCAGCGCAGAGGCCTCTCCTGCCCAACTCGTCGTCGTTGGCGTCGTCGTCGTCGTCGTCGTCGTCGTCGTCGTCGTCGTCGGTGTCGTCTCCTGAAGAAGAAGATGGCGTAAACATGACTTTCGGAGGTCCCAGCGGATGTCTTGGATCGGCGCGGGGCCCCCCTGGCGGCGCCCGTGGCGCGCTCCGCGCGCCAGGGACGGGGTTCCAGCGCGAACCAAGAAGTCTGAGCGGATCTTCTCATGCTCCTCTAAACGTCCTCCTGCTGGGACAGGGCCAGATCTCGTTTTTTTGGTTTGCTCTTGGGGGCTCGTAGAGGGGGGTTGTCCCAAGGTGTGGGCGGCGACGATAAGGGGCGACTAGCCCAGGGGCGGGCATCATTACACGTATTCGCCCGGGGGCTTTGTCGAAGACACAGATCACTGGCGCAGCTGAATACGTGTACTGCCTACTGCCCTCCCCTGGGCTATCCGGCCCTATCGTCGCCTCTGAAGGTGGGGTTTGGGGAACGTGCCTGGCTGGATATTCGAACCTCCTCTTTACACGGGCCGTTTCGCGCGATGGTCCTCTTCCTTCGCCCCTGCCCCGCTTTTGTTGCGTCCCCCCGAGGGTCTCCCCTACGCGGGCCTGACCTTAAGTCGGGCGTGTCCCCCTACAGGAGGCAAGCAATTATCAGGGGACGATGTGTCTACTATTTCTGGTCAGTTTTGGACCTTTTCAATGACTTCTACTTCTCATCCAAATTCCCCCCGTAGGAGGAGAGGCCCGACTTAAACTTAGCCAAAGGGCTTCCTGACTCTCCGTGAAGAGAGGCCGGCGGGTGCGGGGTCCTTCGCCCCCAGCGTTCCTCGGCGTCTCCCAGGGTTGCTGGCGTTGCTCGGGGCTCCTCGGGGTCCCTTGGCGACGCTTGGCGTGCCTGGCAATGCCAAGCAACGCCGAGCCACACAAAGCAGTGCCAAGCAATGGCAAGCCATGCCGCACAATGCCAAGCAGTGCCAAGCAGCGCCACGCAGCGCCAAGCAGTGCCAAGCAGTGCCAACCAGTGCTAATCCTTGCTAAGCATTGCTAAGCACTGCTGAGCGGCTGAGCACTGGCAAGCAACGGCAAGCAATGAGAAGCACCGCCAGGCAGTGCCTTGCATGGCTCAGAACTGCTTCGAGTTGCTCTGAACGGAAGAGGCCCTACTTGGAATAGTGCCAGGTACACTATATACATGTATATTCAGTGGCATGTAACATGTATATAAATATATCTCTCTCTCTATATATATGCATGCTTGGTACTGCCTCGGAGTGTGCTCGGCTGTCCGCATGTCTGGCCATCGTGCAATACGTTCGCTCCTCGCCTTCGCCCTCCTCGTTGTCGTCGTCGTCTCCGCGCGCCTCGTCGTCGGCCTTGCTCTTGTCGCCCATCGACGCCTTTGCGCCCGTTCTCATTCTCGTACCTTCGTCATCGGCTTTGCCATCGTCCTCATTCTCGTCGTCGTCTCCTTCGCATCTTCGTCACCCTTTGTGTCGTCGCCCTGACCTCCTCTGTCGGCGTCGTCGTCGTTGTTGTCGTTCGTTGACGCCGTCCTCTTCGGCCTACATCTCTTGAGCTGTGAGACTCGTCCCTGTGCATGCGCCAACCAAATCTTTCCAATGTGGTCCCGTTGCATGTTGCGTGTGCTTGCTGGTATGGTCCTTGTCATCGGTGCGTTGCTGGCGTGGGTGGTCTCTGACTGGTTCCCTCAAGTACCGCCGCCACCGTCGTCGTAATCGAATGTGCCCCGGTCTTCTGTGCTGGTGGCTGCGATGCCAAGAACAAGGCTTCCACCGAGCTTGCTCACATTGAGCGCCACCAGCACCACCAACATCCCCTCTCCCAGGGTAGCGGTGCGCGCCTCTTGTGGAGAGGCTGTGCGCGGGAGTGACACGCTGCGCGTGGATAGGTGTGTGTGTGTGTGTGTGTGTGTGTACCTGCCCGCGTATGCGTTTGGCATGGTTGATCGGGGCTCACGAGACGGGGGCGAGAGGGCGAAACGGGTCGAAACGACGTCGACGACGACGCGACGACGACGAACGTACCGCATACGAAGAAACGGCGCTGAAACCAGCTTTTTTTTACCAGCTAAACGCCGAAATTAGTGAAGGCGGCGGGCTTCAACAGACGGGGGTCAGTGCCAACGAGTGTCAGCCCGAGCTCCGGCTCTTGCAGGATCCTGCAGGGCCAGGGTCGCACTGACCGGGGCCTGGGTGCAGGATCCTGCGGAGCCTGACTGTCTCGGGCTCGGATTGACCCACTCATGCTACACCATGCATGCTTCCTCGTTTGTCCATTCACCGCAGCCGTTTGCACGAAACCGGTATCTTCTGAACGAGTGCCCGTGCGCTGATGATAAAGCAACGAGTGCGCAGACTTCTGCTGCGTTGCCTTGAGATTGTCTATTCATCTTGGTTTAGGTCAGTACAGTCGGGGCGCTGACTAAGGAACCCTATTCGTTGAGGAGGGGCTCGGTGTTCCTTGATTGTTTCAGAGTTTGCCTCGGGTTTTCCCGAGGTTTCCATGGGAAATCGAGGTTCAACTTATGGGAAAAAAGGGGCCTCGTTCCTTATGTTGGGTTCCTCAGGTCAAGGCCCCGACTGTACATCTTCGAGTTGATCCGCTCTGGATCCCCGCCCCGTCTTCTGATGGGGCCAGCCGCGCGCGCACCTGGTTTGCTCGGGTGCACTCCCTCCGCCTCGTCGCTGCGTGCGAGGCCGCAATCACCATAAGCATATATGTATGGTAGAATGCCA